TCTCTCTCTCTCTCTCTCTGTCCACTTGTTCTCTATATCCAAACAAACCCTCCCCCCCCCACTACACTAGTATTGTATCTTCCCCAATATCACCTAAGGAACAATGTCTTGTTTCTGCATGTCACTCTTTCTTCCCCGTCTCAGACAAACGCTACAGTATATGTCACTATGGCAGAGTTGACTAGGATGGTTTGTGGAAATTTTACTCCCACTCCACCTGAAAGTTCAATATGGATCGACCCACTTCTCTGACAACATTTTACAAACTTTTCACCTTGGCATGGAAGTCTCTACTCCCTACTCTCCAATTACAAAAGAAACTTGGATGACCAACCTGGCTCAGCCTCTCCTAACCAACGGTAACTAAACCCAAACACTTTCTTACAGACAATGGAAACGTCAACAGATTTTAAACACTTATAGCCCATTTATTATTGCATATAACAAGATAAAACACCTTTAGCAGAGCAAACAGATTTTTCTCCCATCCAAAACACAGCCCCTTGCTTTCCAATTCTCAAATGGCTGTTTTTTACTAGACATTAAAAGATCTTTATTGCGTCACTTTTTCTAACTCAACTATACTCCTTTTTCATCCGCCCAGTTTATTAATCGAACATCCATCACAGCTTAAGATAAAGTCAGTCTTCCAGGTTTCAGGTTCCAGGTTCCAGGTTTTAAGTACAATACAGTAATAATTTATCCTAGTAAGAACGTTCCTCGAGTACCAGCACCAAAGTCTCCCCATCCCATGTAACCACAGTACATAAATTTTGAACCCGTCAAGAGTTTTCTGTTCTTTCCATTCTAGACTCAAACAGTGTCTCAAATAATGATGGTATCCCAATTCTCATTATCAGAAACTGTGTATTCGAATTTACTCTTGTCCTCTCTAAAGCTTTTTAACTTCCTCTTACTCTTCCCATAATGTTAACTTGTCTTGATAATCAGCTAATGTCCTTCTAATTCCACAAAGAGGTAATCCTTCCACTCTCTCTAACTCACGAAGTCTCATCAAAAATGTTCTCGAAAAGTTTTGACATTTGTTATAATCAACTACTCAAACGCCTCGACAAACACCACCACCGACACCGAGCATGGTTTTCAGTCCAGCCATTTCATTAGAGACCTGCGTTCTCTTGTATTGTTCATAGCTTTGACTGCACTCTTCACAACTTTGACGGATGATTTTAACTCGTTGTCCTTTATATATTCAAACCTTTCGGCAAGGTTTGGCATTACATTCTTAATTGCCTAACTTCCATATTTTGGTCTTAAATATCCTAGATCTCCCTTTCTCGATCCGCCATATTCAATCAATTTAGAACAATAAACATAGTCTTTTTCCATAGATGCCAGAGTTCCTCGGGGCTTAGTCATTCCTCCTATTCTCGTTTTTACTTCATGTCAGTGACATTTCCATTCATCCTACACGGTGAACATTACTGGAGTACATGACACAGTGGAGTATTTTCTTAATGTCGCTCACCAAGTAAATATCCAGTCATAACTTTCATTCGCTAACATCTTTTTACATCATAGACCAATGTTCCTATCCTTGGTCTTGCTCTACTTGAAAAACTTACACGGACTCGCATCACTTAACATTACAAAAAGGTATAGGTACTAATAATTTAGCTTCATGTGGCAAACTCTTTCATAATTCTATACAATTTACTGTCCTTAGCAACAGACGCGTCCACCCTCACATAGTACATTGTTTTCAGTTGTGGGATGGTTCTACACAGTTCCCCTTATCACTCTTAGACAAAACTCAAACGTACGAGGTGTCCGTCCATAACCTTACCTGCCTTCTTGTCAATCCATATATTTTTTTTTCACCAATATTTCCACTGCCAGTGTACTTTTGTAGTAAGTGCCATCATCTCTACCAGTTGCAACACAATTTATTCATTACTAGGTCACTTTTTTTCTTGCAAGTTCTATTTCTCGAACTTCTTCATCATTCCCCTCCTCCATTCCTTGGACTTTTAGATTATAGAATTTTAATACCTGTCACGTTTCTGCAACCCCTTACAACCTAAAACTCAAAGTATACAGTGTAGAGTATATACCCATCTCTTTACCAGACAGCTAAATTATAGGTTCCCATTTGATCTTATCCCTGGTGTGGTAAGCAAGTGTAGTTTCAATATAGGTCAAGTATCAGTTATACAGTATTGCCCTCGATTTGACACACTGACATTTAAACCTCCCCTGGTCCGTCACAAAGTATATAAAACACACACAAAAAAAACACTGACCTCATTCTCCTCCCTCACTTCTCTACACTATGGTAACTCCCCCCACCCCTTTCAACCTTTTCATCACCTCATTCACCACTGACCCCTCACACATACCTAGCTATTCCCCACCTCTCCCTCTCCCGCGCCCCTCCCCAACCCTTCTTTACGTTTCCTTTCACCTCTTTCTCCATTGCTCAGGCCTCCCCTCTTCTCCATCTGTGTCCTACGCCTCCTGTCTTCCCCACCCTTCCCCGAGACCTCCAATATTCCCCGTACCTCCCGTAAGCCTCCCCTCTCCCATATTCCTCTCTCCCCTATCCATCTCTCTCCTCATCCCTATCTCTCCCCATCCCTCCCTCTCTCCACCCCATCCTCTCCTTCCTTTATCCCTATCCTTCCTCCCTATACCCCAACAGGGCAGCTCATCAGCCATGCATCAATTTTAGCAACAATACCGTGGGAGATTAAAGTTACGGGCGCGTGGTGCCTCGCTGCGACACTCTGCTTATTACACCTCACTCCCCCTGCCCGCCCACCTGCCCTCCGGGGCCAGAAGAAGCAGGGGAAGGGAGGAGAGAGGAGACGGCGAGAGGGTAGAAGAGGGGAAAGAGCGAGGAAAAGAGAAGAGAGTGAGGGAGAGGGAAGAGTGAGGAAGAGAGGAGAGACGGGGGCGGGAGAAGGGAGATGAAAATGAGAGGAAGAGGGGAGAGAGGAGAAAGGAAAGAAGGCGGAAGAGTAATGGATAGGGGGATAAGACAGGTGAAATAATGAAGGAGAGAAGGAATGAAGATAGGTGAGGAAGGGAGAAGAAGAGAAACGGAAAAGCGCGAGAGGGATAAGTTAAGGTGGAGCAGGAAGAGAGAGGGAGGCAGATGGGAAGGAGGAGAAAGTAGGTTGAGAGGAGGGAAAGGGAGGTAGGAAGGGAAGGAAGATGAGGAGTCAGGAGGTAAGGTGGAAGGGAAGGACAGGAAGAGACGAAGGAAAATGAGGAGGATGGATAGGAAGGGTAGTGGTGTAGTGTGAAGTAAGGAAGGGGATAGTGGTGGGTGAAGGGAGGGATTGGGGGTAGTGGTGAGTTGACGGCGGGGTGTTGGGAGGCGGGAAGTGGTTAGCTATCGATTGATGCGAAAATCAGAAAATATTGAAGCTGACTCAGGGGTAAACAGGGAGGGTTGTGGAGTGCCTTGGTGCTGGTGAATGTCGATGTACACTGAGTCCTCGGCCAGAGACAGGCTTGGCTCACTGTCTGTGAATCCGCCTGTCTGCCCTGTCTTCCTGTTTGTTTTTCCCAGTTTGTCTATCTGTCAGCCTGTTGTCAAATGGTTTGTTTGCCGCTTTACTTGTCTTTCTGTTTGTTCTGTCTTCTTGTTTACTTGTCTACCTATCTGCAAACTTCTGTCACTCTGCCGTAATTTCTCTCCCTCTGTCTCTCTCTCTCTCTCTCTCTCTCTGTCTGCCTGTCTGTCTCTCTGTCTTTCTGTGTGTCTGCATGACTGTCTTTTTGCCTTCCTACAAGTTTGAATCCCAACCTTCTTAATAGTCAATAAGCCAAGGCATTAATGTGCAAGGCGTTCACAGTGCAGTTTTCTCCCGAACACTGCCTCCTGTCCCGTCTCACCTCTCGTAAAACAGATACATTTCCCAGGAGTGTTTTCCTTTGCATATTTTGTCAGTTATCTAGACCGTACATTGTGCCTCAGTCCTCCTTGTGTCTGCACTGAGTGAGTAGGAGCAAGAGAATAACACTGAGGGCTGATCACAACTTATATAAGGTCGTTCCTATGAGTTCACATTTTGGTTGTAAATCGGGTGTTTTCGTCCCCGCTGGTCAGTCTGTTCATGTCTCGTGTGTATTCTCATGTTCGTCACGTAGCACGGTCCTGTGAGTCAGTGTCTGGCTACGTCTCTGAGAGTCAGTGTCTGGCTACGTCTCTGAGAGTCAGTGTCTGGCTACGTCTCTGAGAGTCAGTTCCTGGCTATGACTTTATGTAAATCGTGAGTGTAAGTCGGGACCAGGCTACGACTTTGCACAGTCGTCCATGTAAGTCATTTACTTAAGCTCAGTGGCGTAAGTTAGTGTGTTTCCTTCTGCTCAAGAAAGTGTCAGCCCGGGTTTTATATTTTCCAATGTCGTTAGAAACAGTAAACTTGACTTAACCCTTTGATTGCTTATTGAGTGTAAATATTAAAGTATCGGCAGCCTGTGCGCGTCTGATAGCCAGCGTAGGATATAAATTCTTAAGAGTGTTTCAAGTGGCGATATTGGAATCTTTTAACACTTAAAGGAGTGGTGATGGTCAGAAGCTTAAAACTTTGTTGGAAGGAGGAAGGTGTTGCAGATGTCCACTCCTTAACTCCTGGAGGGAGTGAAGAAAGCAACAGAGATAGAGGTGAAGTTGAAACATTGTAGAATTGTTTTTAATGCTAGTATGTTCTCTTCTCTATCAGTCACTCCTTACAATTAGTCAACCAAGCAACGGGGTATATCTTTCTTATATATCTTCAAACGTCTCAAGGAACAGACACACCGTGTTAATGTATTTCTTATTGATTCCGGGATTCAGAAGTCAAGGTCTCCGCTATCCGGGTTTCTTTGATGTGTGCCAGTGTGTTTACTACGACTAGGCGAGGTTTATTTCTCCTCACAAACACACATGTCTGATATAGAATGTTGTTTGTCTGGATATAATCTTACGTTATTGTTTTCGTTCGTGTCGTGATTTCTGTGGCTAGTTAAGACTTCTACCGCCACAGCGCAACACAGTAAGACTCCCACAGCACAACACAGTAAGACTCCCACAGCACAAAACAGTAAGACTCCCACAGCACAAAACAGTAAGACTCCCACGGCACAACACAGTAAGACTCCTACAGCACAAAAAAGTAAGACTCCCACAGCACAACACAGTAAGACTCCCACAGCACAAAACAGTAAGACTCCCACAGCACAACACAGCAAGACTCCCACAGCTCGACACAGTAAGACTCCCACAGCACAACACAGTAAGACTCCCACAGCTCAACAAAGTAAGACTCCCACAGCACAACAACACAGTAAGACTCCCACAGCTCAACAAAGTAAGACTCCCACAGCACAACGCAGTAAGACTCCCACAGCACAACACAGCAAGACTCCCACAGCCGACACAGTAAGACTCCACAGCACAACACAGTAAGACTCCCACAGCACAACACAGTAAGAGTTCACAGCACAACACAGTAAGACTCCCACAGCACAACACAGTAAGACTCCCACACCACAACACAATAAAACCCTACAGCACAAAAAGTAAGACTCCCACAGCACAAACAGCAGCACAAAACAGTAAGACTCCCACAGCACAAAACACATAAGACACAGCACAACACACTAAGAATCCCACAGCACAACACAGTAAGACTCCCACAGCACAACACAGTAAGACTCCACAGCACAACACAGTAAGACTCCACAGCACAACACAGCAAGACTCCCCACCTGACACAGAAGACTCCCACAGCACAACACAGTAAGACTCCCACAGCACAAAACAGTAAGACTCCCACAGCACAACACAGCAAGACTCCCACAGCCTCGACACAGTAAGACTCCCACAGCACAACACAGTAAGACTCCCACAGCTCAACAAAGTAAGACTCCCACAGCACAACACAGTAAGACTCCCACAGCACAACACAGTAAGACTCCCACAGCACAACACAGCAAGACTCCCACAGCACGACACAGTAAGACTCCCCACAGCACAAACACAGTAAGACTCCCACAGCACAAACAGTAAGACTCCACAGCACAACACAGCAAGACACAGTAAGACACAGTAAGACTCCCACAGCACAACACAGTAAGACTCCCACAGCTCAACAAAGTAAGACTCCCACAGCACAACGCAGTAAGACTCCCACAGCACAACACAGCAAGACTCCCACAGCTCGACACAGTAAGACTCCCACAGCACAACACAGTAAGACTCCCACAGCTCAACAAAGTAAGACTCCCACAGCACAACGCAGTAAGACTCCCACAGTACAACACAGTAAGACTTCCACAACATAACAAAGTAAGACTCCAACAGTATCATAATGCAGTAAGGCTTCCACAACACAACACAACACAGTAAGACTCCCACAACACAACACAACACACTAAGACTCCCACAACACAACACAACACAGTAAAACTCCCACAACACAACACAACACAGTAAGACTCCCACAACACAACACAACACAGTAAGACTCCCACAACACAACACAACACAGTAAAACTCCCACAACACAACACAACACAGTAAGGCTTCCACAACACAACACAGTAAGACTCCACAACACAACACAACACAGTAAGACTCTACAACACAACACAACACACTAAGACCCCACAACACAACATACAGTAAGACTCCCACACACACAACACAACACAGTAAGACTCTACAACACAACACAACACAGTAAGACTCCCACAACACAACACAACACAGTAAGACTCCCACAGCACAGCGCAGTAAGACTCCCACAGCTCAACACAGTAAGACTCCCACAACACAACACAGTAAGATTCCCACAGTATCATAATGCAGTAAGGCTCCCACAACACAACACAACACAGTAAGACTCCCACAACACAACACAACACAATAAGACTCCCACAACACAACACAACACAATAAGACTCCCACAGCTCAACACAGTAAGACTCCCACAACACAACACAACACAGTAAGGCTCCCACAACACAACACAACACAATAAGACTCCCACAACCAAAATCATCACGATGCTTAGTTGATACTTCAGTTATCTCAAATATATTCCGCCTGTTTACATTTTCTGTCCGTTTACGATTGCATATTTGTTTACATATTTCATCTTTGTTTACATTCCCATATTTTTTGACATAGTCCGCCTGTTTACACAATCCGTTTGTTTACATTTCCGTATCTGTTTACATATTCCTTCTTCGATTCCTCGTAGGTTTATTCAGTAATATCGTCTTAAAGAAAATTGATATGTTACAAATTCCTACGTCATTCTGGACTATGCGGATTATCAGTTATCTAGCTACAGAAGTATCATGGCTCGGGTTACCGGTTATTTAGATAGCATCATGTGTCAGGTGTTTGGTTATCGTGCAAATAGCCCAAAGTACTTGTTACATTAGAGTATAGTAATTGTAACGTTCTATCTTAAATTTCTCACATGTGACCTTATAATTTGTGGCAGGCCCAGATGTCCAGATATCCTATACCATACCCCCTAGATGGCATATCCTACAGCATACCCCAAATAACATGATATCCCACTCCATGTCCCCAGATGACATGTTATATATTACACTATGCCCCCAGATGACGTGATATCTTACACCATGCCGCCAGATGACATGTTACCTTACATCATGCCCCCAGATGACGTGATATCTTACACCATGCCCCAGATGACATGTTATCTTACACCATTCCCCAGATGAGAGTCAGATTACGCCAGGAAAAAAGTCATTTCTTCTCCTGTGATATCAGGCGAGGCATGATATGTATGTTAATATGTTTAGTGAAACCTCCTTTCTCCCTCCTCCTCCTCCTCCTCCTCCTCCTCCTCCTCCTCCTCCTCCTCCTCCTCCTCCCCCTCCTATTTCTTCCTTGTCCCCCCTCGTCCTCATCGTCCCTCCCCCCACTGCGTGACGACAACTCTCACCCAGGTCTGAAGCAAGAATGTGTAGGAGGTGGCGGGTTGAACTTGGCTAAGATCTGAAATAGTCAAGGATCTACATTAAGTGTGTGTAATAATAATAATAATTAACAAAAATAATTAAAGGTTTATTGAAAGAGCATGGCAGCCAGAAGGCTAAAGATATACAGTTACATAATTGGGGAATGGATCGCTTAATTGACAAATAATATACAAGTAACACAAGTGATACAAATATGATATATAATAACGAGGCACTTGAAAAGTTTCATCAACTTAGTCTACGTTCCATCCTCCGAATTCGCTGGGAAGACGAAAGAACAAATGTCAGTATTGTCTTGGACACCAGCTATAGAAGCATCGAGGCTACCATAATACTGTACATGAACAATTAAGTTAGACTGGCCATGTTACTTGCATGGACGACAGTAGACTACCAAAGCCCAAAGCAGCTACTGTATAGTCACCTAACGTATGGTAAAAGTATCGCTGGCGGGCAATGGAAAAGATATATGGATAGTCTTAAGACAAACCTGATAAAGTGCCAAATACGACCCCTCACCTGGGAGACGATTACTGTACTCCACACCGTAACGCTTGGAAGAGCACCACACGAGAAGGTGTCAATGCTTTTGAGTTAGCCCAACTACCTACCTAGGCAGACAAGCGCCAGCGGTGGAAAGACGCTGCCGCCGCCCCTCCCGCACTAGATGTAGTCCTTCATACAAGCAACATCTGTGCACGGCCCTACCTGTCCCGTATCAGCCTCATCAGTCACTTCAAAGCTCACCAACGAAGGTGACATCTTTAACAACTAATATTATTGTATTATAACTGGATGATCGTCATATTCGATTCCGAGTGACAGCAGTGTAGTAGTAGTGTGTGTGTGTGTGTGTGTGTAGAAAATGACGGCAACGATAATGCCAGACATCAATGACAACACCCCCGAAACCTTCCTGTAATATTGCCAAACGTTATTTGCCAGCCAGGCACTGATCCAGTATTCTCTCCCAACACCACTCACAGCCACCTCACCTGGGGATCGCCACTCCTTGCTCTTTAGTTATTTGTGCCTATTATTTTTCCGTGTATTTTTTTTTCTGTTGATTCTTGTATTATCGTTATTTTTTCTCTTTGAATGTAGTGTTGTTTTTATCATATTACACTTTTGTCGGTTAGGTAATGTCAGGTTAGTTTAGGTTAGGTTAGTTTAGGTTTGGTTTAGTTGGGTAAAATTAGGTTAGGTTAGTTCATCATTAGTTTAGGTTAGGTTAGGTTAGATTAGGTTAGGTTAAGTTTGGTTAGGCTAGGTTTGGTTAGGTTCGGTCAGCTCAGGTTAGGTTATTTCATCTCTCAAGGAAAGTATATACTATATTCCCTGGATTCTTCCACCTTTCTTTTTTTAGCGAACAATGTACATTTAAATGTCATTTAAATTCGGGTCTCTTAATATAAAACTCTTTGAGATTGTATCTCGGTTCAATACACCCAGACTCCTTTGTTTTTTGTAAATATTATTGTCCTTTTGAAGAATTATATGAAGTCAAAGGTCTAAAAAACCCTGAGCGCATATTTTGAGATGTTGTGTGGGGCTCGGTTGGGGGAAGTAGACATGTTATACCATACCACTGCTGGTCTCTTTGTAATTTCCCCTTTTACTCATTTTTACACTTTCTTTAGATATTTTTTTTTCATTTCATTTAGATATTATTTGAGTTTTATTTCGATATGTTTACGTTTTCTTCACATTTTACGTTTCTTCATATTTTTTACATACCTTCTTCATATTTTTACATTTACTTTCCTATTTTTTTTACATTTTATTCATATATTAACATTTTCTTCTTCATATAGTTAGATCTCCACCAACTTCATTTAAAATTTATTTACATTTTCGTCTATATTTTTACATCTGTTTTATGCTTAGCTTAAACTTTATTACCTCAAACACTCACTTATGTCTTCCGTTAGAGCCAGACTATGTGCTGATCGTCTCTGAGTACTGTATTCTATTTTACTGTCACAATAATTCACCCAGATAAAGATGATACAAGCTGGTGGTGGTACCCAGGGTATTGTGCAACACTAAGTAAGCCCTCCGGAAATTGCAGTCCTTGTTAAGCGCATTAGTCAGCTAATAGACTGTTTAGTGTTTATTATTAATGCAAGGGCTTCATACACAGTTACAATTGAGTGTTTAAGTAGTCCAAACAAACAGACGATGCAACACAACACGTTCGCTTAATGTGTATGTAAGCAGCATGTAATTCCGCCCAGAGTGTATGTGTATGTTGTGTCTCGAACATTTCGCGACAGGAGTGAGAGGAAAAGTTAATATACTTGTGATTGAATATTTCGTGTTAAACAAGTCTTGTATTATTACCACAGAAAGTGGAGAATTCAACGTTTAATAGTGGCTGTGTCTGTCACTCTCTTCGTGTAATTCTGATGGTCTACGCACCATTATAACCAAATCATGAAATTGCTATTAAATTACAATCTGGGATAATTTAAGTTTTCATCTAACTGGACTGTTGACTTTTTAGGCTAAGTTAGGAAGTTTTCAATTTGGCATCAGAGAAGTTCATCAATTTAATTTTACACCCGAGTACTATGTGAGAGTGAAGTGAGATGTAACGTACCCGTGGAGTTAATGTCATGTGCTTCGAGCCTTACAACTTGCCATCGTGGTTGTATATTTGGAGCCATTTGATCAAAGGCGTAAGACAGATGTTACTTGCATGCACGCGCCCAAGCAAGCACGCACCCACCTACACACGTGCGTACATAGCGTATGCATTGCATAACACGCACGCATACAACTTATTCACACATGCACTGCTTCCACACAGCAACAAACATGCAAAAACCCGACCTTCTCTTCCAACTGTTTCCTGATACAGACCCAAATCTCGAGATATTTTCACCCTTACCCATCAACATTACCTTGGTGGCTTTCCACATTGCTTCAACATATGTCAAAGATGACCCAGTAATCCTCTCAATACTGCTTCTTCACTTGACAAAATATCTTCAGCAGTTTTACAACAATGAGTCTGTCCATTTCCGACATTACTTCAGTATTTTCTCTTTTACCCTTCAACGCTCCTCCAAAATGTGTTTGGGACATGGTTCTTTTACTCTAACTACCTCCAATATCGTCTCAAAATAATCCTGAACTTAAAGTCACTCTATGAATCTTGTTTCCGGAGCTTCCTCTGTATTTCTCTAACAGTCCTCAACTCCATCAATACTACCAAACTCCCCTAGGAATTATCCAATGCTCCCTAGCTTCCTTGAAGTCTTCTCCAGTACTCTCTAGCTCCGCCAATACTCCCCCCAACAGTAACTAGCCTCTCCAATCCTCTCCAACATTGCATAACTCAAATATTCCAAAAATCCCCAGCTTCCCCAGTACTTCTCCAGCTCTCCTAAGCTTCCTCCAAATACTCTCCAATACTCTATAGCGCTTCAAAATCTTATCCAAAGCTTCCACAACGCCCTCAAACCTTTTCGTCAGTTCACAACTCCTCTAAAACTTCTCTAACATTAATTCCCCCAACACTTCCACCACCACCTACCAGTTTCTCCAGCATTTCTTCAACACTCATTTTATATCCACCCTTTGTTGTTTTCTCCTCTCTTCCTACACTTAAGGGTCTTTTAATTTGGTTCAGTGTTCTTTAAAAACTTTCTAGACAATATTGGAGTTAGATTTTAGCTAAATTGATAAGTTCAGTCAAGCCTTGGCATTGAGGATGTTATCAATGTTAATGACGTACAGGACAGAGGTTCATATAATTATAGATGATTCTTTCCTGATCAGATTAAAACATATATGTCAGTGTGACTCTGGTTATATGTGGGTAAATTTGTAATAAAAGCCCATATATATTATTTTTACTTTGTTTAAGACATCAGAAAAGGAAATTATACAGTACTTTCAATGAATATACTGGCCTAAATAAAGGTCTTCATGGAATCTCTCCATCTGTTTATGTATTTATCCACCAGAATTCAGCAACAGATAATGCCAAGAACTTCATACTAAGCTAGTACAGATATTGACATTGACCTACTTAAAGTAGTGTTGTAACTTTGATGATAATAGACCTCTTTTCGTTGTAAGATATCAAAGGGAGTTGAAATAGTCTTAATTTGCTCGTGTCTTAAACCTGTAGCAGCTTGTTTTATGGTCAAGAGACGGAGAGGATGAAGGTCACAGGGACTGAGAGAAATTAGCGAGTTGTAACGCGACTGTGATGCCTTGGGTATTAGGGTGTGTCATAGGAGGGAAGATCAGCTAAAACTAATGGCCCATCACTTTTTTGGTAGATTTTAGTGTATATAAACAGAAAATAATTTCAGTTTCAATATTTTGCAACATTTGCTAGGTAAATTTTAGCGTGAAATTTATCGAAAATCTAACGTACATATTGCATTACATTAAGTACTAAATAGTGAACATTGCTTGACTTCATTCTTTAACAACCCAACTAACAATATTTTTTTTCACCAGATTCTGATGCATTTGGTAGGTTAGATAATATTTGCGATGGCTGCTTGTGTCAGGACGAGGAACCAAAATCCAGCTATCTCTGAAGTCACTATCTTGGGTCTGGAGAGAGCTCCTCGAAGTTTGAGTTGCCTATATATTTCTGAGAAGATGCTTTGAGGATACGGTGTTTTGGGAATCAGGCAATCAGTGAAAAGAACCAAAGAACTTACACAAACGAAGACATTGCCAGTGATATGACCAAAGCTGTCTTGGCATTAAAAGACTCTGGCTAAATGCTCAGTTCAAGCCTCCAGTCATAATGTCAGAAGGAAGATTAGTGAGAGAGACTGTGCTAGCCAGGTTGGGGAAAAGGCAAGAGATATTCTCTTGAAAAACTTGTGTAGCAGTGATGCTGCCAGCAACTGGACCAGTTATTTGACATAATTACTTGCAAGTGTCCAATTGTTCTCTGTCCTGAGTTTGGATGCGATCGTGACTGTAAATCCGAGGCCCACATCTCCTGTATTTGCAAGCGTGAACTGAAGATTCCTGTGATCGAACTGGCATTTGTCAAAGCACAGAGAGAGAAGACTGGCAGTATAGGGGCTCTCATGATTTCTAGCCAAGATATTCCGGAGTCCAAGAGACAGGAGGCTGCCACAGAGAGACAGAATAGGAGAAGAGTTGCCGAGGAAAAGAGACTTGAGAAGGTGCCCAGGTGAGGTAAAAAAGGCTGTGATGATTGGAGCCTGCTTGATTCAGAGTTTAATGACTTCCCCATGGCTGATCCGAGTGCTGACCAGGAGAATGGTGACTTTGTCCTTAACCCAGAAAATAATGATCCCAAACCTTCCAGGCATAAGATTCGAAATAGGAAAGATATCCCGAGCATAGCTCTGGCCAGCATGCGACACCACACTGGTCTCAGAGAAACTGCAGAGATAGCAACAGCTGCCTGGATTGACGGAGGTTTGATAACACCTGATGATGTTCACCTGGTGATAGATCATAACAAAGTAAGGAGAGCTCAAGAGAAACTTGTCAGTAACCTAGAAGAGGAGTTTGATAAGGGGATAAGAGAAAATGGAATCAATTTGTTTGTTCTTTGATGGGAGAAGGGATGACACTAAAGTGTTCATGAAAGTTGGAGATTCTGACAAGTTGTTCCCTGCCATGGTGAAGGAGGAACACTACTCCTGCTGCAGTGAACCAGGAGGGAAGTATTTGTGGCTTTTCACTCCAGAGAAAGATGACATCAGAAAATCAGCTGAGATAGTGGCAGATAACATTGTGAACTGGCTCAGAGAGAGGAACGTAGACCAGACCCTGCAGGCCATTGGAGGGGACAGCACCAACACGAACACAGGGTGGCAAGGGGGGTCATACAGTGAATAGAGCGGAAGATTGGGAGGAAGCTGGTCTGGATTGTTTGTGACCTCCACACCAACGAGTTGCCACTCAGACATCTGATCCAGGAGCTGGATGGCAAGACTCTTTCAAACAACAGATGGTCTGGTCCTCTTGGCAAGATGCTGGACTCTGCCACTGAGTTAGAAATAAATCCGAGCTTTGAAAAAATCACAGTTGGCCCTCCACTCGTTGAGCTTGCACATACTGTCATTGACGACCTGAGTACTGACCAGTACTATGGTTACATGATTTGCAGTGCCATCAAAACTGGGGTCATGCCTGATAGACTTGCTTACCTGCAGATAGGTCCAGTCTCACATTCTAGGTGGCTCACAACGGCTCTCAGGTTCTGCAGAATTTGGGTCGCTCATCATAAACTGAAAGGAAACCAGCTTCCTGAGACTTATTGTCCAATTCATCGTGAGTGTCTACTTGCCAAATTGGTTCAACACCAAGGTCAAGTCATCGTTCTCCGAAGGTCCGAGGCATGTTCTCTTCCAGCTTGAGCTCCTGAGAGTCAGCCAAGGAAGGTTGTTCAGATTGTGGGCAGACTGTGAGGAGATCTTCTGGTATGCTCATCCCGAGGCAGTTCCAGACAATGCTCTGCAGTAAGGATGAGGAGGAGAGAAGAGTGGCAGTCAAAAAGATCTGGGATATGAGACTTATGAGAGGATCTGGGCATGACGAATCAGTTGGTGACGATTCCTTCAGGGTCAGGAAGACTCCTGAAGTCAATCTAGGTGCCAAGACCCTCACTGATCTCATAGATCTGGATAACATCCAGGCTGGCAGTGAGCCCCCTCTTACCTGCAGCCTCACCAATGTTCAAGTCAGAGCTTTCCTGGACAACCCCATGCATGTCCCTGCCTGGCCCTCGCACACCCAGAGTATAGAGCGTTGTGTACAGCAAGTGAGCAAGGCCAGCAGTCACGTGTACAGCCAGAGAGGAGGGAAGGCTACATCCGAGCTCAGGTGGTCAGCAGGGAGGTGATGAGTAGAAACAGAAGCAAGAAAGACATGTTCTCTATGGTGTGCAGCAACACCGGGTCGTAGTAGTAAAACCGGTTTTTGTATTTGATGATTTTGTTTTCTAAAGGAATATTAAATTTAATAAATGTGTCAAGATCATTTGTTTCACTATTCTGGATCATTTTCATCCTAATAAATTAACCTGATACATTTACTTTACTTTAAATAAGCTATTTAGTGGTGTTGGTAAAAGGGTGGGAACACTGAATTTTCATAAGATTTCAAGTTAAAATTTACCTAGCAAAAAATGAAAACTTTTCAAATCTGAAGATATCACATGATTCTGCACATAGAACTACATCATTAATACCATGGCCCGATTTTTCAAACTCCAAAAAAAAAAATTCGCCTCCGTATGACACACCCTATTGGGTATGTAACCTGTCCTCTTGACACACCAAAACTAGGCGGGTAATAATATACCTTAGTTTTCTCAGAATACAGGCGAGCTAAGATATACATAAAATGTGATATATACCCTATACAGTATATAAAGTTCAATTAGCAGTTACTGAGATCTTAACTTATAATTAGCGTCAAATCGATTTAGGCTAAGTCCGGTTTAGTTGATTACTAATATATACAGAATGTCTTAATAAATTCATAATGATACTTGTTACCCTATTAGTAATTTTATTAATATCTAGTTATATATTATTAATGTTTGTTTTGTTTTATATTATCAAGTATTTCAAATTTGATTCCTTGTTGCAATGGGTATGTTTGTAAAGAAGGTTAGGTGGGGTGTGTGTTGACGAGGTTACCTGAAGGTGAGGTGCTCTTTTACCTGGCCGTGTGAGAAGCTGTCGCAGTGGTAACTTTTTAACCTAATTATTCATTATAGCTTCATGGCCTCACACACATACGTTGAGCCCCCATCACCCCTGCTATCATGTGACTCCTCCTCCTTCTCCCATCACCCTCACACACAAACTGAGCCCCCACCACCCCTGCTATCATGTGACTCCTCCTCCTTTTCCCCTCACCCTCACACACAAACTCAGCCCCCACTACCCCTGCTATCATGTGACTCCTCCTCCTTCTCCCCTCACCCTCACACACAAACTGAGCCCCCACCACCCCTTCTCTCATGTGACTCCTCTCCCCCTCACCCACACAATACAATAATAATACAATGGCCTCCAGCCTCCCCCAATAGCCATTCCTTCGCCACCATTTTAATACCTTAATATTACATTAATATTGAGCAGCAGATCTATGCGGCATTCAGTGACTGTAACCTCGTTGTCAATATCTGCAACTGTTGTCGGCTTTGAGGTCGAAGCTCTCGTTCCCCTGAGGCAGAGCAAAGCCGACCTAAGGAGAGAGAAGGACAGTCGACATCTCATCCAGGCTGTAACATAACTTCTGGGATGCTGCTTCTGTTCGGATATCACCTCCGCGAGTCTGGAGTAGAAGCTTCTTGCACTTGCTCCCATCCCACCAGAGGCTGTGAACACTAGAGGAGTGAAGCTGCCTTGATCAGCATTCTGAATTCTCTCCCCATATGCCCTTATCTTGTCGTTCTCGTTCCTCCTGTGTGCAGCATCGAGAGCTTAGTTACGGTGACATGCGGCCATGGGATCAAAGATCCTGATGTCGAAGAAGGC